TTGGAACTCGGGAATACTTCCAATTCAGTGTCTCTTCTCCAAGCTGAGGCAGTCCTATGCCCCATTTTGACAGGAAGTTATCACAGTCATAGTTGCCCTGTTCCCTAAATTAAAACTGAGCAGAACTCTGGGGTGCAGATCTGCTGTGTGTTCTCCATTTCTTATCAGTAAGATATAGGCTTCATTCAGCCTCCTTGACCTTCCCTGAGTTCCAAAGGGTGGATTCAAACAATTGCTAATCAGGGAAGGGGGGGAATACAGAAACAGGGGGAACAATCAAATGGTGGTACAGCCTTGAGACAGGGTCCTAGTTCCTACTTAAAGAAATATGCATAACAATGTCTTTTGAGTTCTACAGAACTGGAGCCCCCACTCAGGTGGAGGATGGTAACTTCAGACTAAACACAAGATTCCTGGAGCACAGCTCTGTTGCTTGACCACCAGCCAATCAAAAAAAAAAGTCAAACCCTGCAGCCCTCACCCCAAGTGTTGCATCCTGTTTCTGGGGACCAGTGATGACCATCCTGTTAGGTCTCCTGTTTGGCCCCTATCTATTTTATCTCTGAGAGGCGCCAACAGTTTCAAACTAAATTGCTCTTATTACAAGAGTAAAAGCTGGTTTCAGATATGGAACACCCCAACTTAGGTCAGGTATAGAGAGACTTCTGCTCTGCTAGGCAGGCTTATGCCCAGGCACAGCAGGAAGAAGTTACAGAAGAAAGAGACCTCCGCTCCAATTCCCAAGAAGCATCTTGAGTATGAAGTCTCAGGAGGGAGTTGTTAGGGGATGCACACTGATTGAAACCGCCCACCCTGGCCAGGCACCATAGTAACCATTTGCATGAGTTGTTTTATGACAGGAGATGCTGATAAATATGGAACTAATAAACCACCACCAGCTGGATGAGTTCGGGAAAAGTCGAGAGGAGACACTGCCTGCCTCTCCACTTCCCAGATTCCTCTTGCTAGCATCCATCTTCGCTGAGTGATGTGTGCGCCACCAGGAAAGACTCTGAATTAGATTGACTGGCCAAAGACAACCCGGAAACTAATCGCATCACCATAAAACCCAAGACTGCGAACCACACGGCAGAGCAGTTCTCCTGGGTTCCTTTGCCCTCCTGCTCTCCACCCGGGTGCCCTTTCCCAATGAAATCTCTTGCTTTGTCAGCACATGTGTCTCCTCGGACAATTCATTTCCAAGTGTTAGACAAGAGCCCAGTTTTGGGGCCCTGGAAGGGGTCCCCCTTCCTGCAACAAAGCAAGAAAGAGAAAGTGAACAATCATGGTTCGAGTCTTGGTTTAATACTTCCCCTTGGCTGACCACACTTATTTCTTCTCTATTAGGACCCCTCATTCTACTGTTATTAATCTTAACTGTAGGTCCCTGTATATTAAATAGAATTATGTCCTTTGTAAAAGATAGATTTAATACTGTCCACCTAATGTTACTCAGATCTCAGTATTCGACTGTCTCCACAGATGATATAGTTGACTCTGTAGAAGACCCATCATTGGGCCTTCCATAGGAACTAGAAGAGGGGGAAATGTGAAATGTGAAACCCCCTCCCGAGGAGAGAAAACAGCACCGCCATTTTGAGTAAAACCCCCTTCCGAGGAGAGAAAAGGAAACTTTAAGACAAAGAAACTCAATGAGCCAATCAGGGGAGGACAGGAAGTCCCTCACCTCCCTTACTGAAGAATCGAAGCTGTCGAATTGAGGTGCCGGAGAAGACTCTTGAGAGATCCTTGGACAGCAAGGAGATCAAACCAGTCAATCCTAGAGGAAGCCAACCCTGAATGTTCACTGGAAGGTGATGCTGAAGCTCCAATACATTGGGCACCTGACTGGAAGAGCCAACTCCTTGGAAAGACCCTGAGGCTGAGAATGATTGAAGGCAAGAGGAGAAGGCGGAAGCAGGATGAGTTGGTTAGATGCATCACCGACTCAGTGGACATGAATTTGAGCAAACTCTGGGAGATAGTGGAAGACAGAGGAGCCTGGCAAGCTGCAGTCCATGGGGTTGCAAAGCGAGGGACACCACCTAGTGACTGCACAATGACGATTTCCTAACGCCACCGCCCCAACTCCATGCAAGCCACTCAGCAGGCAAATGACCAGGGATCAGGGATGGACCTGCTGTGGAGACTGACATGGAGCCTGTGTGTCCCCTGAGTAGGGCCTCCCTCCCAGGCTAGGACTCCAGGTGCAAAGACAGGGCCCTTGGCAAAGCTGATATCAGAGCTCCACTGGGCTGAATTTTGAACTTCAGGGTCAGCTTAGGACCATGATTTCAGATAGGGGTCAAGATTGTCTGTGCCCAGCCCTGCCTCCCTGCTAGACCTGGGCAAGTGATTTCATCCTAGCCTTAGTTTCCATAGCTGTAAAATGGGGATGAATGTAAGAGAACTTTTCTGTGCCCTTCCACATTATGCAACCAAAAAGGGCTGTATTCACCTTATTCTAGTCTCAGCCCTGGAAACATGAAGTTTCTGAGTTTCCCTCTAAGATTTCGATTGGAAAAAGTAATGCATGTTCTTCTGAATTTATGCTTTAAAACATTATGTATATATATAATTGGCTGTGCCAGGTCTTATTCGTGGCAGACTGAATCTTTGTTTCGACACACGGAATCTTATTGGCTGCCTGTGGGATCTAGTTTCTTGATCAGGGCCAAATCAGGCCCCCCTGCATTGGGAAATGGACTCTTACCCACTGGATCACTCGGAAAGTCCCAATCTATCTTTTTCTTTCCATTTTTGGCTGTGCCTTGCGGAATGCGGGATCTTAGTTCCCTGACAACAGATCTAACCCATGTCCCCTGCAGTGAGGTGGGGTGCCTTAACCACCAGACCACACAGAAGTCCCAACCTTTGTTATTTTTTAAAGACTCATTTTATTTGGTTTGCACAAATTCAGCAAAGATAGTCCAGAAACTTTCCACCGACCCCACACCCCATTTCCCCTACTTTGGTCATTCATCTATAAGGTACCTGTGCTGCAATGTATGAACCAATACTGACTGATAACAGTGTTAACTGAAGTCCATGCATTATTCCGATCTCCTCAGTTTTCCCCTGATGTCCCCTCTCTGCCCCCGGATCCTCATGGGATCCTTAGTCCTGATGCCTCTTTAGGCTCCCCTGGGTCAGGCAGATTCTCGGGCTTCCTTGGTCTTGACCTTGAGAGTTTAGAGTCAGGTGTTCTGTAGGGTGGCCCTCGGTTGGGATTTGTCTGGTGTTTTTCTCATGGTTGGACTGGGCTTTGGCGAGAAGGACCGGAGAGGGTAAGTGCCTTTCTCATCACACACGTGTGTCCAGGCCACGTGCTATCCCCTGCCTCAGCCTGTGATGTTGATCATGGCCCCCTGGCTGAGGTGGTGTCCGTCGGGTGTCTGCACCAAAAAGCGACCTCCTTCCTCCCTTCCACCTGTGCCTTCTGCAAAGAGGTGATGATTTATAGCCCACCAAAGCCATGGGATACCGCACATCATCCTCTTGAGGGCGAGATATTTGTGTATGTTATTTGATATTCTTCCGCCTGGGAGACTTTTCTCCTCTCTTTCATTTATTGTTTTAACTAGTCATGTATTTATATTCCTGTGAACTCATGGATATTGATTTTACATGTGATGATATTTATTTTGTGATTCAAACTGTTCCAACTTTGGTTCTTTGTCATTTTTGACAAGCTTCATTCCACTAAAGCATTCTGGAACATTTTCTGCAGTCACGTAGAAACCATATGCTTATAAGGGGCTCTGTTATCAAAGACCACCATCACCCACTATTTTAGGAGCAGGGGGCACACTCAGGGAGAGCTTTCTTTCCTTTTTATTGGTCATGTCTCCCAGCTTACGGGATATTAGTTCCTAGACGAGGGATTGAACCCAGACCACGGGAGCCTGGAATCCGAGCCACTAAGTCATCTGAGAACTCCTCGAGAAGCAGAGAAACCTCTGGGGGAGGGGCTCCCAGAGCTGGGTACTGTCGGATGAATAGGAGCTTGGGGGACGGAGGTGGCAGGACAAGGAGACACAGATCTGTCCCGAGCCTGCACACCCACGTCTCAGTCCCAGCCCTGCCCTTCCTGCCGGAAGGGATTGGGAGCCAGGACAAGGGGGCCCTCCTCACAGCCTCGGTTTCCTCGTGGAACCACTGTCAGCAGAAGATGAAACGGGAATGAGATGAGAGAAGCCAGGAGATGAGGGAGGAAAACTGCAGGCAGGGAGCACTGACGAGGGCCCTTCAGATGCTGTCCGCAGAGAAGAGGGCTGGGGATGCAGTGGGTGGTGCCTGCTGGAACCCAGAGAGCTTGAGGAACATCTAGAGCAGGAGAGGCTGGCGGCGGATGTCACTGGATGTCCACCTTGGTCTGCAGGGCAGGCCTCAGATGCTTTGGGAGGTCACACAGTCATGCTCCAACACTTCAGAGTCCAGTCTTCCCCCCAAAAGGGAGGTTTACATTTCGATTCCAAAGACCCAAGAAGAAAGTGACTTTCTAAGAGCAGTTGTGAGCAGGATGGAGGTGCTGCAACCCAACTCGCGTGCCATCCCTAGCTGTAGGCAGCCTTGGGCCAGCTCTGCTACTTTCCCACTCAATGCATCCTTTCAGGACTGCCCTGGCTTGGGCCCCTTAGGCTACCCCATCGTCCTTACAATCTGTTGCCATGTGGTCGTGTCAGGACTGGCCAGGTCCGGAAGCCTCAACCCGGGAATCCGAGCTGGAGTCGGCCCAGTCCTGCTTGTGGCCTAAAGAGAGCAGAATAGGGAGTCAGGGGAGGACGGATCCCGGGCTCTGCCCCCAGCCCCAGCAGACTCTAGGGCCCCTGCCAACACACTGAGCCCTCCCTCCATCTCAGATTCCACTTCCCGGTGCCCAGCCGTCTGCCCCGCAGGCAGGCCACCTCCCCAGACCCTGAGCCAGCCCCTGGTCCCGGCACCTCCGAGATTTCTTCTCCCAGGAGCTGCCCAATCCTACCGGCCGGCTTTCTGGGATCTCATGTCAGCAGAGCGTTGAGGACCAAGACCGCGAGCACAACGAATAGGAAGCCCGAGCAGCTGGACGCGTTGTTTCTGGAGGTCTCACTCTGTCTTCTGGAGTAGAGATCAGGGCCACTTAGGCAGCTGCCGGGCCACTCAGTCCGCTCTAGGTTTCTCCCCTAAGAATCTGCACTCCTCTCCCACCAAATCTCTGGGCAGGAGAGTGAGCAGCGGCCACCCCAGGGATGTGTGACAGATGGGACGAGGCTGGACTTAAACTTAGTCCCCGGAGCATCACGGGTTTTTCTGAGCAGAAGGGACTCGGGAGTCTGGGGGTGGGGTGAAAGGGGCGTGGCCGGGGCGTGGTCTCGCACCTTAGTCTCTCCCAAGCGTCTTGCAGCTGTTGGTTCAAGGTCGCCAGCTCTCCTGTTTGCGGGATAGCGTACAGATTCAGGGGCCTCGTCGACACGGTGACCCCGCTAAGCCACCTGACACGCAGCCGGGACCTCACACGACTGAGCGCCGTGATCATTTATCCCCAGCCGGAAACCCGGCTCCCGGCTCCCCCACCCTAAATGGAATCTGGCCCCCCTTCCTCACGCGTGATCACAGCCCTGGGACCCTCCCTCCCGACTTCCTTTCAACACCTGCCCTGTCGCTGCCCCGCTAGCCCAGTCCGCGGAGCCCGGGTCATCTGCTTTTCTCACCCTGAAGCTCCTCCACTCGTGCCTGCTCCTTCTTCAGAGAGTCCCGCAGCGTCACCTGGGTCAGAGGGGAGGGTCAGAACCTGGCCTCCTGTGCCTGGGTGCTGGACCCCCCCCTGAGCCCCGGGATCAGAGGCGCTCAGATGCACACCCCCTTCATTTCCCTCCCAACCCTCCCCCTGCCCCTCAGCCTCCCACCCTGCAGAATGTGCACAACCTCCCACCTTCCCGGCACACCGGTAAGAGTGTGATCCTCAAAGTGGGAGTTCTGAAGGCCCCCCAGAAGAGAATTTGGAGGTTCCCATGCCCAGACTCTAGGAGACGTTTCTAGATGCCCTGGGCTATAGCCCAATAAGATTAGGAGTTCCTTCTATAACCAGAAAGAAGGGTCGGGGGGTGGGAAGTGGGGGTGATGATTTCAAAGCCCGAGTTAGAGGTCCACGGGAGATTCAAGGTCTTCCATGTTAGAACAGAATGAAAATTTCGAAGGCTCTAGGAGGCAGTGGAAGGAGCTGGGGAGGTCCTCTTCTCAGGCCCTAGAGGGGATTTCTGCTCCCCAAGATTGCCCCAAAGGGAGTTTCTAGCTCTCCCCATTCAAGCACCAGAGTTTAGAGATCCTTCATACCCTAAAGGGGTACTGACGCCCATAATGGGAGTCTTAAGGCTCCCCCCTACACAGACACCAGCATCCCAGAGAGAGTTTGGAGGTTCCCAAACCCTGGTAGTGACAAAAGGACACAGTTTCAAGGTCTATCTCGATCTCCACAAAGACCCTGGGGGAGACCTCCACGTTCGGGGCCCTCTCGAGGAGGTGCAATGGCTTACCACAGTCTGTTCGCAGGTGGCAGCTTCGGCTTCCTTCTCGTGTAAGACTTCCTGGGCCTGGTGTAGCTGGCGCTGCAGGTGTCGGCTGAGCCCCTGACACTCCGTCTGTGCTCGGAGGCCATCCAGGCAGGCCTCGCTGTTGGCCCTGACAGCGAAGTAGATCAGGGGCGCGAGCAGCCCCGCCGCCACCAGGAGCAGCAGGAGTCCCAGCCAGAGCGGCAGCCTGCGGCCACACCGCGCTGACTCACTCGCGTCCTTTTCCTTGTCTGTGGCCATCACGGACTCGCTCGTGTCCTTTTCCTTGTTGAGCATCACGGACTCGCTCATGTCCTCCTCGGTGTCCGCGGGCACTGGTCTCAGAACAGAAGTAGTGCCATCCTGAACCGCTGGGACCTTTATAGGCTAGGCCTGCCCCCTGATTAGCATAATAGCGGTGCCGACCAATGAGAAGCTCCAGGAGTTTCCTCTGACTTGGAGACGCTTGAATGGAGCCTGTGCAGGCGGAGGGCAGCCAGGCTTTCGGTTTAGGTTTCGGTTTCCTTTTTCCTTTTCCCGGGAAAAAACGGTGAGTTGCTTTTGCCAAGTTGTGGCCTTGGGCGCTCTGGGTTGGATGCTGGCCGGTAAGATCCTGTGAGAGGGGAGTGGGGCTCCCTGGACACCCCATGTCAAGTCCTGGCCCTTCTCCCACATGGATCTGAGGGAGACAATTGCACTTACTGGGCACCCGGTGCACGCCAGCTCTGTGCTCGTCTGTACCACAAACGCAGGAGGCAGAGGGCGTTTTTTTTTTTTGCCTCAACTGGGAGAAATGAAGGCTGAGACGTGAGTGGTGACTGGGGCCGTGTTGTGTCTGACTGAGGAGACTGGGTTTTGAACTCAGGGATCTGCTGGTGACCTTGCTGGGGTTCACTTAGCGTCTCTGTCCCCTGCCGAGCGGACCATCAAGAGCCGTGGAGGGTGTCAGAGGACGGACCAGATCCTGCAGGGAGACGGGAGAAGAGCGGGACCTCTAACACTACTCAGACTGCAGTTGTCCTCTATGGCCACCAGGGGACGCACCAGACAACAAACACCCACCCAGGCCCTCGTCCTGGCTCCAGGCAGGAGCTTGATCTTACTGCCAGCATCTGCCTCTAACTCCCAGGGACTCCACATCAACCCTCTGAACCGAACAGGACTCCAAGCGGCCTTCCCAGGGCGACTCCTCCCCCATATATTCTGTTTTAGCTCCTTTATGAAATATGGAGATAATAGTATCTGATACACATTCCTGAGTTGTTTTTCACAGATGAAAACGCCCATGCCCTGTGGAGTGTCCCAGGGAGCCCCACTCCCATCTCACAATTTTACTGGCCAGCATCCAATCCAGAAAGCCCCAGGCCAGAATTTGGCAAACGCAACCCACGTTTTTTTTCCAGGGAAAAGGAAAAAGGAAACCGAAACCTAAACTGAAAGCCTGGGCAGCCCCCTGCCTGCACAGGCTCCAAATGAAAAAGCTGCTGCTGCTGCTAAGTCGCTTCAGTCCTTTCCAACTCTGTGACCCCATAGACTGTATATCCCACCAGGCTCCTCTGTCCCTGGGATTCTGCAGGCAAGAACACTGGAGTGGGTTGCCATGTCTTCTCCAAATGAAAAAGCCCCACCAACCAAATGGAAGATGTTTAGTACTGAGGGCCATTAGCGTTTAGTCCCCAGACCTACTGGTGGGAAAGGATGGATGATGTTAATCCCTGTGACAAGCACCCTGTGACCTTCTCATTAGCCACTCAGAGAATTGTGCAGGAGCTGATCCCATAATCTGTGCCCAGCGTCCCCTCACCTGGCCTTGAAAAATGCTTTCCGGAAACCCTTCTGGGAGTTCAGGAGCTTTTTGTGGGTCCTGAGCCACCAGCTTCCTGGGATGGCCCTGCAATAAAACTTTCCCTGTTCCAAATTCCAAAATTTCCATGTGATTGGTCTCACCTTGCATTGAGCACATGGACCTGTGCTAAGGGAACCTCAGTTTCCTCATGTGTAAAGAGGGGCCATAACAAGAGCAGCCTTGTCAGGAGGGGCCAGTGAAGAGTTTTGAGCAAAGTGCTCTGGCTTCCAGTTGTTCAGTCTCTCAGCTGTGTCCAACTCTTTGTGACCCCATGTCAACTACAAACTGGCACTTACCAAGAGCACTGCCAAGAACTGCCCCCCCCTAAGGAGACTGAACCCCATGCTGCTACATAATCTGGTGGGACAGGTCTTTAGATAGTTGGATGTTTTTAGGAACATATTTTATGATCTCAATCCTTGCGTCTCCTCATATCTAGAGAAGCACTAAATCCCTTCATGGTGATATCAAAAAACCTTTTGTAAAATGAGTGCTTCATGGGATTGAACTCCCCCTTCATCAAAACCTTATATATTGACTTTCCCCCACTGCTGCTTTGGAGCAGTCTCTCAGAGCTATCTAAGATGCTGCCTCCCAGGCTGCAGTCCTCATTTTGCCCCAAATAAAACTTAACTCACAACTCTCAAGTTTTACATCTTTTTTTTCTTAAGTCAACAGTTATGGCGACCATGAAGGGACCCAGAGTGGGCTTCCTTCCTTTGACTGGACTCCACGAGGAACGGGAGCTTTGGTACCAGCAGTGGCCCCTTGCACCCATCCACCTCCTCGGGGAGTGCAGACAAATTTGGGTAAATTTCTCCTTGTTCTCAAATCTCCAATATTCATTGAGATTCTGAGTTTTATTTGGTGGTGGAGCAGGTTACCTGCCCCCTCCCAGTAGGAAAGATACTGGGGTGGGGGGCGGGTGAAACATCCAGGGCATACCCACTCATGGTCTAGACCCTGAGTGGGGCTTGGTTGAAAGATACCAAGAAATTCCCACCCAGTCAAAAGATAGTGGGTGGGAGTCTCACTGAAAGATGCCAGGGGAATTGCCCACCCAGTGGAAAAGTACTGGATAGGGGGTCTTGATTGTAAAAAAAAAAATCGAGGAATACCTGGGGCTTGGCTGAGGTTGCTCCATTGTGGAGGACTGAATGGTCTTGGCTAAGTGGTTATGTAAGAGGCTGATCTGACACTTTTCCTCAATTTGAGTGCCATTATAGAATTTGTCAGGATAAAAGTAAGGAATATATGAGAGCTTTGCTCTGAAGAAAAGGGACAAGACTCCTCCTGGCTGGTTTTGGTTTTCCCAGGTGACTGAGAAATTTGCGGGAGTGGTGGAGGCCTAGTCCTCATACCATGTAGTGGTCCCGTAGGGAAACCCACTCGTTAATTAAATGCACATAAGAACTGGCCATTCAGCGACCTGATCGGCATAGTGGTATTAGATTGCCGGAGGCAGAATCCAAGACATGTAAGACAAGCTGAAACGACTCTAGGGTGACTCCTAGAGGAGTTAAGGTCACAAGCCGCACATGGGCCCACTACACAAGTTCACTAGTGATTTTTATCCCTGACAAATTCAGCTTAAAATGGGAAAAAGAATCTTTCAAAAACAGAAACAAAGGGGTGTCAGAAAGCTAGCCTCTGACCAGCACTCCAGCCAGATTCATGTATATGTGGAGCTCATACTTGCAATTACCTAGTTCATTGGAGAAATTATACTAAAAGAGAGCTCAACCTAAAGAAAAAAAAAAAAAAAGAGAGCTCAACCTAAAAAAAAAAAAAAAATAGAGAGCTCAACCTAAAATGGCCAAATTGGAGTTCTTTTCCTATTACAAAATGGATATTTTTGCATGCACAATTAGAAAAGGCCGGCCATGCTTACTTTGAATGGTTTCTAGAAGCTTCTGAAAGAGGAAATGGTCGAGTAACTTCTTCACAGAAAATCAACAAGAAATTGCTTAAAACTATATCAGAATTTAGAAAGGCTACTAGCCCTGACTCTGCCGGGTCACAGGCCTAATGGAACTGGGAAGTCATGTTTGGCATTTATGCCTCTGGGCTTTTGATTTCGGGGCATCTTTTGCCTTTTGTTTCATGGAGTGTGACTGAGGTTCTGGTTCGGTTTGGTTTGTTGGTTTGGTTTCAGCACACAGACACATGGCACAAACTGCTCGAGTTAATATGGGAGCTGCTCACCCAAAGCTTCCACACTCCAGCTGGGAACCCCTCGGGGAAAGCATTTTATGTGACTGGTCAATTTAAAGCTATGATCCAATGACAAGGAAAATGGCCTAAAAGTATTGATCTTTACTGATACAGGATAGGAACATGGACTGAAGTTCCCTTATGTCCAGGACTTCCTCCAGTAATCAACATCCTGGGGCTGATCAAACTGAGACCCCTACTTCCCCAGAGGGACAATCCTTGCTGGGACCAATCTGCCCTTGTCATCAGGGCCAAATTGAGCACTATCTGGTCTAAATTTTGGCTATAAAACAATGGTCACAGAAAAACGATTTTTGACAATGTGGTCACAATATTCTATAGAAAGCTTGAAGAAAAAAAAAAATCTCTTTAAGAATTGTGGCCCTGAGGAGCCAAGATGGCGGAGGAATAGGACGGGGAGACCACTTTCTCTCCTACAAATTCATCGAAAGAACATTTGAATGCTGAGCAAATTGCACAAAACAACTTCTGATCGCTAGCAGAGGACATCAGGCGCCCAGAAAAGCAGCCCATTGTCTTCGAAGGGAGGTAGGACAAAATATAAAAGATAAAAAGGGAGTCAAAAGAGCTACGGACGGAGACCCGTCCCGGGAAGGGAGTCTTAATAGAGGAAGTTTCCAATCACCAGGAAACCCTCGCACTGGCGGGACTGGGGGAAGTTTTCGGCAATCTAACTGGGAGGAAAAATTAAACAAGGCCCACAGATTACGTGCCTAAAAGCAACTCTCAGCAGAAAAGTACCCCAGACGCCCGTACCCGCCAGCAACAAGCGGGGGCGGGACGGAGAGGAGCGGGCGGCATTGCTGAGGGCCCGAACACACTGCCGGCGGTTCGCAAAACAAAGGGACTGAGAAAGTCCAGAGAAGAGCCGGCCCATCCCCGCTGGAGGTTGGAGGCAGGGGGTAGGGGAAAAGGGCAAACTCAGCCCCTGAGAAGCCACCCCCTCCCACACTGCAAACAGGCCCCCGGTTCCTATCTAAAGACTTCCTGAGACCCGACTGGCGGCGCGCGCTGGGGCCGCGGAGGGAAAAAGCGCGCCGTACCCGGGGAGAGTGCGCCCAAGCCTCTGGCTGCCTGAGCCGCTCGCCGCGGAGGGAAAAGGCGCGCCACATCCGGGGAGAGCACGCCCAAGCCTCTGGCTGCCTGGGTCACTCGCCGCGGAAGGGAAAAGCGCGCCGTACGCGGGGAGATTGCGCCCAAGCCTCTGGCTGCCTGA